CCGGTGTCTCCAAGGAAGACCGTCGAACCCGGGCGATGTGGGAAAAGGTCGGATGGTTTCTCGCACGGGGGGGATGAGGTAACGGAACAGACAAGGTGCATCGCGAAGAGACCGCCACCGAAGGTACCCTCGCCGTTGCCAAGCGCCTCAGGGCCCGCTCCCGCCGCGTCACTACCACCGCTGCCGCCGCCATTTTCACCTTCCACGCCACCGCTGCCGTGGAAAATGTCGACAAAACCAAAGTAGGGCTCGCCCGGTGTCACTACCTGCTGCTGTACGATCGCTCCACCGCCACCACCGCCATTGTCACCGCCGCTGCCACCACCGCCAGCACCACCACCACCGTTGCCGCCGCCACCAGCGCCGGCCAGCATGGTGTCACTGCAGTATGCGCCATCGGCCGCCGGGACATCACGAAATTGGACGGCCGATGTATCCGCGGCGGTGTACGCGTACTCCGGACCGAGGGCACCAGCAGAAGTGACGACGTTGAGGTGGGGGTGCCGGTTGCTCTTGGCACAGTTGCGCCACATGTGACCGTACTGGCCGCATGCACCGCACGTGCCCTCGAACCTGCGGNCTGTTGCTGTTGGACAACACCGCCCCCAGAGGACCAGTGTTGCCCGCGGCCGTCGCCGTTGTTGCCATTCCGCCGTTGGCCTCCGCCTCCGCCGCCCCCCCCGTTGCCGCCGTGCCAAAACCACGGCCCACAAGAGCATGGGGGTTGACAGAAACCACCGGCGTCGAAGCTGCCGATCCTCGCTCCCTCATCTCGCTGGCCTTGAGCGTGGCATATCGACCACGCACGACGTCCTGCATCTCAGCGCGGGTTAAACAACGCTTGAAAAACTGATGCGCTTCTCGACATCGTAGCATGCGGGGAGTTGGCGCACAAGGATCTGCACAACTTCCTGCTCACTCTTAGCAATGCCCACAGCCTGTAACTTGGTCTCCAGTTGTGCGACGCGCGAGAAGAAAAGCTTGGGGTCCTCATCATCACTCATGGTTATATTGTCTAGCTCGGCGACGAGGAGCTGACAATCAGCTGGGTGGGTCGGCAAAAATCAATCCTCCACCATCCTCCACGCCTCTGCCACGGAATGGCAAGAGTACAGGTTGTTCTCAAATGGGGCCCCCACCGCTGCCTCCAAGATAAAACTCCATGTCCTCTTGTGCTCAACAACCAGCTGTGCACCATACTGGCGTGTCAAGTATCCTTCATCCTGACAACTGACAACGGGAACCTCAGCACTGCCGAAGATTGTGTGCTGGAGATTGTGGTTGTCCACGTAGGCCAGAAAGCGTCTCCGCCAACTGAGAAAAGTGTCGGCGGTGCAATTAGGCGGGATTCTAGGCACAGGAGTT